GTCTTTTTTTCCAATCTTGTATGTTTGCTATTTTTCTTTGCTGTTGTGATTAATGTTGAAATTGTGCTCAGCTTTTGATGACGAGTGATCTTGGGTTTGGAGTTTCGCATCTCACTTTGTTTTTACATTTCTATCGGAGGGAAAGCCTGGCAGAGACTTTTCTGTTCCCCTTTGCTCTGTGCAAAGTTATCATGTAGGGTGGGTTGTCTGGAATGAGCTGCATACTCCTGTTACTGAGAACATTTCTGTGTAGGGCACTTGTTTGAGAGTAGTTGCCTATAGAAATAACTGATGGTCTGTGCAGAATGTACCGAGTATTATAACAGCAGTTGAAAATTGCTTTGTCAGCTTCAGTGGCTTTAAAGGTTGAAAATTGAGCTCGATTATATCTAGTTGTTTTGCTGTAACAAGGTGGCATTGTCATAAAAGCTATGCTTTCTAATTTAACAACAATGAGCCTTGTGGGAAATGTATGCAACAAAATTTATTTAATTGATAAAATTGTGATTTGTTTAGCCTCCAAAGCTAAGATAGTAGTTCCTGGTGAGTCATCCCTTAACATGTCAGCGATTTACGCTGTCTGTTAGATAAGAAATTGAATATGGGCGCTATTTATGCAGATGAGTCAAATTCCATTGTGTATGTAACAGAAGTGGGTAACACCCCATGTTTCACAGACTTCATAGCACAGCAGACTGATGACATTGTCAGTGGAATTTCCGCAAACTATAATTGGAACCAAAGACTTCAGCTACCATTTCTAGTTTTATGAATCTCGTGTTGTGTGCGGAAAGTTTACAAGCGCAGCTCAGTGCATTTTTAGCACCTCATTGTAAGCATTTGTGTTGAATGCGTGTTTGACAGTGCTCAATGTTCTGTTGGCTTAATAGAAGTCAACAGGGGCATAGTATACACTCAAAAAGGGTGCTTCTAGAATAAAGGCAATAATGTTTGGAAAGTGACAATCTGAACCCTTCTGCTCATTTGATACCTTTACCTTAGTTAGCAACACAGAGCAGCTTTATGTCCTTACTCAAGATCACACTTGACAGTAGGATGTAGTTCTATGGCACATGTCATGCTGCAGTGTGTTATTCAAGTGATCATTATATTCAGTTCTTGATGCTGAATAAATACAAGCTATTGTAGTATGCATGTGTCAACTGAATCTCACCCTACCTTTGTCTGTATTGTCCCAGGGACTCTGTTCAACTTTTGAATGAATGAATGATTTTATTGTCACATACAGTGAAAGATGTTTCGTCGCCACAACGAACGCCACTTTGGATTACAAAATGAATAGAAATAAATTACTTATATAGAGCTTCATCTTCTGTTCAATTGACAGAAAAATATTAAGGCAGAATAACAAAAAATAATATTCAACTTTACAGTCCTCCTTGTCAAGCATGACTCTAAGCTTCCTTAAAGCCTCCAGGGTTTCTGGAAAGTGTTCTGGTCTCTGGGCCATTATTCTGTGTCCAGCTGATGCCCCAGGAGTCTCTAACCATTCTTTTTCCCCAACCAGTACAAGACAAATTGCACATCCAACTGTGAGAGATAGTAAGAACTGCCGATGCTGGAGTCTGAGATAACAAGGTGTGGAGCTGGGAGAACACAGCAGGCCAGGCAACATCAGAGGAGCAGGAAAGCTGACGTTTCGGGTCCTGCCTGGGTGACTTTGTTTTACTTAGCACCAGCCATGAATCACTCCTGGGACCATTCAATTCTGTTTGGTTTAGGATTTGCTGAAATGATTTGCTGATTTATCAGGAGAGACCACAGGCCAAAAAAAAATAATGATAAACCATATTTATGGCTAAACCTATTAATCAAAGATCAATCAATGCAGTGCCATCTCCATATCAGTCTGTTCACTTGTTGAGCAGATTCATTGTGTTATGCTAACCTGCAAAATATGAAGTTAGCCAGCTGATACTGGAGACTCATGGAGTTGATTATGACACTCTGAAAACAACAGGAAAACAAATTGGTTCAAAATCTTCTGCCAAATTACCAGCGAGGATGAAAGCACCTTCCATTATTTATAATGCAAAAACTACTGCAATTGCAAATGTACCATTAAAGGTGGAAATTAGAAAGTTGCTGTTCAGATGCAGGGCTCACCATTAACATCTTAGCTGAGTTCCTCACTATTTGAAATGTATTGAGCAGAGAGAAACTCCTATATTTGCATAATAGAAGTGATGTTAACATTCTAAAGAAATAATCAAAACATTTTGAGTCTCTTTTAACTCCCTTCCTACAAACTTACATGAAATAATTTCTGTCAACCTCTCCTGATACTGAAATTAACTACTAAGGGTGTGGAGTCTCATCCCCTCATGTTTTAATTATTAGTAGAGATTTAAATGAATTATAAAACTGTGCCAAAGCTGAACCTCCCCTTTTTATGAAGTGAGATCCCTTTGCTTTTCACACCTGCTGTTCCTCAGATTTTGATGTTATGGCTCTGCCAGAGCATGTTCATCATGAAATTATTCCAGCTCCTTGATCTTTTCCTTTGCATCTTTAATAGAATGCAAATAAATTGTATCCAGGAAGCAGAAATATCTTGCCTGAAAGGAGGAGGTAAGCAAATGCTGCATATGGGTAATGGAGTGACAACAGAAGTTAAAGGTTTTTATTACTGCAGCTTATAAATAATCAGGTAAAGATAAAAACACAATGATCAAAATTTCTTTTCCCCAGTAGCATGAAATTGGACCAAAATAAATCACCAGCCCATTTCACACTGTGCCTGGTTTTTGTTTATGTTGACTGGAACAGAAACCCAAATCTGATGGGTTATTTAATGAGCTCCCAATTTTCTTTGAGCAAGGTGAAGACCAGTTTCATCCCCAACTGCTCTTTTCTCCCTACAAAAACAAAGTTGAAAAGCATAAAGTTGATCTCGAGTTGCTCATTTTTACGATGAATGTATATGAACAGCAATATATCAAAGCTTTTCGTTGTACACATCAGAACCAATGCAAGAATACCAAATTTCGAAGGGGACAACAATTATTGCTGGATGAGAAAAAAGTGCTGATTGGTTGATAATGGACTCTGATTGGTCAAGGCATTGTGCTGGAGAATGCAACAGGGAACTATTGTAGAGCTACATATAATCACACAGAAACCTGTCCTTTACAGGAAAAGGGAATATCTCCAGGCACTGTACCTTTCCTTCTAAATTAAACAAAAGCATAGGAATAATTGGTTCCTGGTGCATTCTCCATGGCAAAGTCTTGCCCAATCATAGAAAACTTGTTGATCACTGCACCTTTTCCTCAAGATGCTATACCCTTTGAAGTTCCGTGTTCTTCACGTGCCTTAATGAATATAAGATGAAAAGCTTTAACTGACTGTTAACCTGTGAACTTTTACCAAATGCAGAGGTTTTTTTTTAAACTTGTAGGATATGGGTGTCATTGGCTGGGCCCAGCATTTATTGCCCATCCCTAGTTGCCCCTTGAAAAGATGTTGGTGAGCTGCTTCCTTGAACCACTGCAGTCCATGTGCTGTAGATTGACCCACAATGCCCTTAGGGAGGGGATTCCAAGATTTTGACCCAGAGAAAGTTAGGGAACAACGATATATTTCCAAGTCAGGTTGGTGAGTGGCTTGGAGGGGAACTTGCAAATGGTGATGTTCCCATGTATCTGCTGCTCCTGTCCTTCTAGATAGAAGTGTTCATGAGTTTCGAAGGTGCTGTCTAAGGTTCTTTAGTGAATTCTGTAGAACATAGAGCATAGAACATTACAGCACAGTACAGGCCCTTCAGCCCTTGATGTTACGCCGACCTGTGAAACCAATCTGAAGCCCATCTAACCTAAACTATTCCATTATCATCCATATGTTTATCCAATGACCATTTAAATGCCCTTAAAGTTGGCGAGTCTACTACTTTTGCAGGCAGGGCATTCGACGCCCCTACTACTCTCTGAGTAAAGAACCTACCTCTGACATCTGTCGTATATCTATCACCCATCAATTTAAAGCTATGTCCCCTTGTGCTAGCCACCACCATCCGAGGAAAAAGGCTCTCGCTGTCCACTCTATCTAATCCTCTGATCATCTTGTATGTCTCTATTAAGTCACCTCTTAACCTTCTTCTCTCTAACGAAAACAGACTCAAGTCCCTCAGCCTTTCCTCATAAGACCTTCCCTCCATACCAGGCAACATCCTGGTAAATAGTTCATCTTGTAGGTGGTGCTACTGAGCGTCGGTGGTGGAGGGAGTGAATACTTGTGGATGTGGTGCCAATCAAGTGGGCTGCTTTGTCCTGGATGGTATCAAGTCTCTTGAGTGCTGTTGGAGCTGCACTCTTCTAGGGAAGGGGGAGTATTCCATCGCACTCCTAACTTGTGCCTTGTAGATGGTGGACAGGCTTTGGGGAATCAGGAGGTAAGTTATTTGCTACAGTATTTGTAGCTTCTGACCTACTCTTATAGCCATTACATTTATATGGTGAATGCAGTTGAGTGTCTGGTCAATGATAACCCCCAGGATGTTGAGATTTGGGGATTCAGAGATAGTCACATCATCGAATGTCAAGGAGTGGTGGTTGGATTGTCTCTTATTGGAGATGTTCATAGCCTGGCATTTGTGTAGTGTGAATGTTACTTGCCTATTGTCAGCCCAAGCCTGGGTATTGTCCAGGTCTTGCTGCATTTCTGTATCAGTATCTGTCTCAGATACTGCTTCAGTATCTGAGGAGTCACAAATGATTCTAAACATTGCACAATCATCAGCAAACATCATCTTACGTATGGTGCATTGTGTTTGTTTCTGAGCTGTCCTGAATGAATGACTTGCATAACTGAGGTTGCATCAGGAGAATGAGTCTGGGCTTTGGCTGCGATCTTAGCTCACACCGTTATTGCTGAGCCATCAGAAGAAATCACCTGTCCTGCAAAACATTTTGAAAAGATTTTAATTTATCATTTCTGTGGCATTTTGTTTCTAATTTTGGACTACCATTTGTTACTAACAGGTAAAGCGGCAAATACTATCCAGCCAGACGATGACTCCTTGGAATCTTTGCCTCAAAACCCTGTCAGAATTGCCTTCGTTTTGGTTGTTCATGGGAGAGCTTCGCGACAGCTGCGGCGCATGTTCAAGGCGATTTATCACAGAGATCACTACTATTACATTCATGTGGACAAGGTAGGCTTAAGAGCAGCCATGAAACTCTGTCCCTTTTCTTTCCATGATTTAAAAATCTAATGGGTATCTGTTAGTATAAAACAAAGGAGTTGGTATGCACTGCAAATATCACATTTTTAAAATGGTGATTATGCGTGAAGAGAATACACCATTTCCAAGCCTCATGATATGCCCCACTATTTTTTATGGTTTATCCATAAATCAACTATTTAGAATTTTTTGCTTGCCTGTCTTGCTGTCATATCTTAATGACGCACCAAAATGGTTTTAAGAATGATGCAAGTGTACAGGATTGATGTATATTGTGACACTGCGTTCAAACTGGGGAGGAACATTGACTGTGCTTGGAGAGCTCTGCTTAGTAGCGTTTGAATGCCAGTGATATTTTTAGCGTTGGAGAGGAGATTGTTTCACTGCTGATACTAAAGTGTGGGTACTTTACAAAACTTTCATTCTAGCACTTATACTTTTGGCTTTGCATTTGTTATAGATATTTTGTCTCTGAAGGTGATCATCCGCTTGCTAGTGTACTCGGTGTTAGTCTAATTCAGTTACAGACAGACAAACACACTTTTGGGTGGAATCTTGTGCACGTCCTGGGAGTAGGAAGCCAAGCAGGCAAAGGAACCTAATTGTGCAAAAGGCCAAAAACCATTTTCCAGACAGCGGCACGGAAGTTTGTAATTAAGCTCTCGGAACTTTAAAGACGTGTCAAGGTTCCCAACGGTGCACTTTGGGAAGCCTTTTTGCATGTCATGCATGCTCATTAAAGGCCAACTCAGCAAAAATTGAAATTCTCATCCCACTGAGGTCCTCTGAGCAATACGTGCCTTCTCTTTCTCAACTGTGTTGACGTTGTGGTACCATACTTACAAGACTTTGGCGTGATGGACACTGCTTCATTGCCTTTGGAAGAGCTTTGGGCCATGATGTTTGACATTGGGTCGTGATTATTTGAGTTGCGTGGGGGATGGAGAATGAGTGAGGGAGGGATATGAGCTTGGAGTAAAAAGGCTAGCTGAGGGTGGACATCTGTCTCGGGAGAGAAAGAGTTGAAGGGCCAGAACATTTAGCTGCAGGCGTCTACAGAAAGAGCCTGAGTGATGTTCTTGACTTACTGGTAATGATTGCCAGTCCATGTGTGCTTTAAATATGGTGACAGTACCTTCAACCCTGTAAGATAACAGCAGGGGTGTCTGCTTTCTCCAGCTCCTACCATAAGATGCACAGATTTCACAGAGAAAAGCCAGCATGCTTGCCCCAACAGACGTGATGCTCGCTTCTATACCCAGTGCTGTAATTGTACTCTAGAATGGAGTACTCTGTTTCTGTACACAAAAATGCAGTAAACATTTCTATTGGATGACTTGATTCGAAAATAATTTGTTCTCACTAACCCATGTCTTTTTTTAAAATTCCCTATTTTCAGCGATCAAACTATCTGCACCGGGATGTATTAGAGTTTGCCAGTCAGTATCCAAATGTGAGAGTCACACCTTGGCGAATGGCCACCATCTGGGGTGGAGCAAGTCTGCTGACCATGTACCTGCAGAGCATGCGGGATCTACTGGAGATGAAAGACTGGCCCTGGGACTTCTTCATCAATCTGAGTGCTGCTGACTACCCAATTAGGTATGGAAATGATTACAGATTCTGTCTGTGTGTGTACACACCTATATATGTTTGAAGGGTTAAGGGAACCTGACCATTGACGATCAGGCGGGGAGTGCCAATACTAACCAGTGCAATTATGCAGCATTTTCTAGTACCCAGAAGTGCTGGCCTGCATATTTAGGAGCGCTTTGGTATCATTTCCCCCAGCTCAGCTGAATTTACACTTTTTACATTGAGTGTTTAGAGGACAGGGTGGAATTATGCAATTGTATGTTGTTGCTAAATCTCCTCAGACGGCACCTTCCAAACACCCGACCACTTCCTTCTAGAAGGACAAGAGCAGTAGATACATGGGAACACCATCTCCTGCAAGTTCCCCTCCAAACCACTCACCGTCCTGAATTTGAAACCTATCACCGTTCTTTTAGTGTCACTGGGACAAAATCCTGTAATTCCCTCCATAACAGCACTATAGATGTACCTCCACAGCATTGAATATTTTTAAGGCTAAGTTAAATAAATTGTTATTTGACAAGTGTCAGGGGGGTGGTGGGAGTGATTGAAGAAATAACTGTTTAGAAAATGGTCTACATCTCTATTCTTCCTCCCAATGGGCATAACCTCCCACTTTACCACATTGTATCCCATCTGCCACTTCTTTGCCCACTCTGCCAGCCTGGTCAAGTGCTTCTGCAGCCTCCCTGCTTCCTCAACACTACTTATCTTTGTGTCATCTGCAAACATAGCAACAATGCCCTCAGTTCCTCTCTCCAGATTGTAAATGTGTAACATGTATAATTATGGTCCCAACTCTAACCCCTGCAGAGCTCCACTAATCACTGGCTGCCATTCTGTAAAAGATCCGTTTATCCCCACTCTCTGCTTTCTTCCGGTCAGCCAATCCTCTATCCATGCCAGTACCTTCTGTCAGTACCAGCCATGATCTCATTGAATGGTGGAACATCCTCAAAATGCTGAATGGGCTACTCCTGTTCCTATATTCCTAACTTGCTGTCAACTCATGGATCCTGGGAATGAGAAGAAAAACACATCTTCTGTGTTCAGTTTTTGCTGATACTTGGATTCAAAACTAGACTTAGGTTCTTAAAATAACTGCACGGAGGCCAGTATCCTGTCCCCAAGTCCCCCTTTATTTACTTGCATACAGTAGACTGGCTGTGGCCAGCCAGCTCGGAATCAGCCCCCTGAACTGAGGAGATTCTGAATCCGAGACAACAAGGTGCAGGGCTGGATGGACACAGCAGGCCAAGCAGCATCATAGGAGCAGAAAGGCTGACGTTTTGGGCCTAGACCCTTCATCAGAAAAATGA